CACACTCGCTAAGTGTCTCGATCACCAAACCAAAAAACTCCTATCAAGTTTTATCTTTGCCTTGAGCTTTTTATTTTTCTCTTTCTTCTTTTTCAAGCCGAGCACTTGATCATCACCATGGTCACACCATCATCATGATCTTCACCATTACTTCACTACTTGAAATAGTGCTACCTATCTCATAATCACTTTGATAAACTAGGTTAGCACTTAGGGTTTCATTAATTCACCAAAACTAAACTAGGGCTTTCAACCAGCAAGGGCTATTTCGCCCTAGGTTGCAAACAACCTGAACCACGTAGCAAGCGACTTGAAGAACGACTAAACCGATCTAGAGAACGGTTAGGCCGATCTAGAGCTCGTCCAACGCCGTAAAAGCCTGGGAACGCCTCCCGGGAGAACCCATCGAGGAGGAGCACGCCTAGGGTTTTTCTAGGACCAGCAAAGCCACCGAGAACGCTGATGAATCTCGTGGAGAGATGCAACGAACAGCAGGAGGGTTGAAAAAGGGTAAAACTAGGTAGTAGATGTATTTTTTGACGATTGAGTATTGGATCCTTCAATCGGCCGTGATCCTCTTATATATATATAGAGGGGTGGTCTTATTCCAATAGGTAACATCTCCATATTGTGATCTTCAAATTCCCTATGTGAAAACATGTCCAAAAATCAATTTGTAAAGCGTTTGGTTCGAACTTGCACAGGCAAACCGGCCTAGCTTGTTTTTGCGGGGGCTGCGCAGCCCTACAGCCAGGCAAACTGGCCTAGCCGGTTCTGGAACCATCTAGGCCGGTTCTACGGCGTGGCTGGTTCTGTTGTGCGTCCAGGGCATAACGGCTTCCGAAAATCATAATTAATTCGTCCGGACTATGAACAGGGCGAACCATATATGTTTTTCGATCAGCTCGACGAGAGGAACGCAATGGTACAGTTCAATCTTGCATTTGAAAAAATTGCCTGGCCGGTTTCTAAACCGGCCAGGCTGGTTCTAGCTGAGCCAGCACCCCTAAATTGTTGTTTCTTTGTCTGGGCTCCAAATAAGATCATGCAAATATGTTTTCTAACCATTTTGACGATAGAAATATGATAATGGAGTTCATTATAAACCTTAACCAGTTTTGGTTGTCTACACTTGGGCCTCTCTCCGTTTGCCTTTCTGAACAGCCTTGCTTCCATAGGCTTTTTAGTCAATTGGCATGCCAGTCAGTCGGTTTCAGTGGATCCCTTCTGGGGTAACAATTGGGAGGCCTCTTCCTCTGCTTCCCATTTTCTGCCTTCGCAGGAGAACCGTCACCAATTGGTCCTTCATGATCCAAGCCAACCACAGCTTCAGAATGTCAAGAGCGCAAATCAAATGGCTCCTCAGGGTGGGATCCCCAGCACCCAGAATCCCTCCCCTCACCAGGATGCTCCTCAAGAGGCGGAACAGAAAGCTCCCCACTCCAATTGTGGCTGATATGGTGCGAAGGAGTACCAGAAGGCATAAGTCCAAGCTATTTAAGCATGAGGTGTTGGAGTTCAAGAAGAGCCAAGGAAGGACAAGAAAGTGACGGCTTAAGCAGAATTGGAGCAGTGTAATACTACTTGAGTGCTATACTGCTAGTAGACTTTACTTGTGTTAATGCTTGCCTACTGCTGACAATACATGTTGTCTACTATGTCTCTGTTGAGAAACTAAGAATTCTGATATTGTACACTGAATGAACCTGCTTTGTAAATTCAGCTTGAATGTTAACGATTCAATAAGAGATGTCTGATACTCTGATATGCTCGACATGCTAAGCATCCATACTGAAGGCAACTACTACTAACGTGCTCTATAATGAATGTTTCAGCCATGTATTGAATGAAAGTGTAAGACAGTACGCCAAGGTTGAATGCATGCACTAAATCTGCCTTTGGACGAGGAATGCTGGAGCCCTTGGATGGAAAACAACCATTGAGGATGGAGATAAAATCACAGCGTGAAAAAGTCATTCAATCCATGTCCGTTGCGGATAGTGAATCATTTCTTGTTTTGGTCCTACTCGAGAATAAAATAATTTGGCGAGATTTTTCTAGTGGTGGTGGTTATTGTGCTAACGTGGTGACTTTAAAAATTGGAGAGGTTGATTTAGAGGTTTTGTTGTGGACCGTACCAATTTTAAGGATATAATTAGTTTTGGACAGCTACTTTGGATATCCAAATTTCCAACTATTTACCAGTCCTAAACTTGCTGACTGTTCTCGAAGTGGTTGATTCAAGAAAATCAAAGAACATAACTAAACATGGTCATGGAACTACCAACCCGACTACTCCGTCTGAAAAAACACTATCCAATTCGACCTATCAATACATCGGGTGCAATCAGGCTATAATTTTTATCTTGTAACCCGGTCTAACTCTAAAATACCTGACTCATCGATTTATGAAAATATAATAAATAGCTTGACCGGACATATCCGGCCTGTTTGGCTATCTGTTAAAACAACTTCTGCTGGTTGTTTTTAACAGTGTTCAGTGAGCGGTCGCAGCCTGTTTTCGCAGCTGTTGGGGCTGCTGCTGTAGCTGCCTCCTCTCACCGAACACAGCCATCATTGATAGTCGTGGAACAAAATTTTTGAGCCAACATTTTTCTCGTGGTCCAACCCAAATTCGACATGACCTAGCACTTAATCAAGGTCTAGAACTGGTCGCGCACCCACGTCACCGTGCAACTAGCAGCCTGTTCGTTTCATCGTAAATGATCGTGGATTATTTACTGCTGGCTGTTTTAGCTGGTTTGGTGTGAGAAAAAAAATACTGTTTCAGCTTATAATCCACGATCGTATACGATCATATAAGCCCAGCCGATCAGGCTATAGATCGACACCGAGCCGCCAAGACCATTGCAACTACTACAACTACGACCACGCCCGCTTTCCCCGCCGGGCGCTAGTCGAGTCAACGACTCTGCTACCGCACCCATATGTAGCTATGTTCGCTTAGCTTATAAGTCATATTTTTTCAGCCAACGAACAATATTTTTCTCTCACAACAAATCAGCCAACAATATTTTCAGCCATGTCTTATCAGCCAAGCGAGCAGGGCAATACCTTCGAAGCACCGTGTAGAACACCGCCTGGTCCGCAGGCCCCACTTCAAAATCTTTTGTTTTTGCACCAGTGAACCAACAACTAGGGACGGAGCTAGGTTTTGACCATAGGGGGCCGGCCGTTTTGGTATCCCAATGATAACCACATATGATAAAATATGCGCGCGTACATACACATATATGTATATTGAGTTAGAAAGAGTATAAATAATAACCAAATCAATATTTATTTTGCGATACAAAAGAAAGTTAAAAGTCTAAAATGATACTGAAAATTATAGCGAAAGAAAAAAAAAGTAAATAGCCCTAAGTCTCAAATCTCTACCCAACTAATCTAATTCATAGAACAAAATCACTGTAATAACTAGAATAAAAGAGAGGGAAAAGATAAAACACTAATTAACGTCATAACTAGCTAATTGGCCGTATATTATGTAGATCAACTAAGATGTTGTGTAGGAAAAACTACAACAAGAACAACATAGATTGAGAAGATAACACAAATATTAGACAAATCTCATAGATATCAATAAAGACTAACACAAATAAGAGATGATAAATAAAAACAAGACTAATTAGTAATTTTCATTAGCTAATTAAGGGGTTATATAGTGGGGTACTAGGAGGTTGGGGGGATGTGTGGCCCCCCTGGTCCCCCTTCCCTCCGTCCTTGCCAACAACATTAGCTCCATTAGGTTGGTGCCACTTATTCATATAACTTTATAATTTCTTTAACATTTTATAGATTCGATATATAATTTATGATTGTATTTTTGTATTTAAAGATATTATTGATAATATATATGAATTGACATATCGAAGATTCAATTGATATTACCATCGTATTCAAAATAGTTTTTATAAATACATACTTAAGATATTATATGAAAGTCGAATTTCTTCCATTCTCGTTTGAGAATGCGAATACAAGGAGGTATTTTGTGTTTGGGAAAGTCCGAAGAAAAAAGGATTTGGAATCCACTTTTTCTTTTGCTTTTTCCCTTAGAAAAATAACTCAATCAAAATCCAATTATCTACTCTACAAGAATGAAATGCTTGTTATGCCTAATATACTTAGTTTAACCTGTATATGTTTTAATTCTGTTCTTTGTCTGACTAATTTTTTCTTCACAATTTAAAAAAAATGTTTCTTCTTCGCCAAATTACCCAAAGCTTATGCCATTTTCAACCCAATCCTGGATGTTATACCTGTCATACTTGTACTCTTTTTTTTCTATTAGCGTTTGTTTGGCAAGCTGTTGTAAGTTTTCGATGAAATATTTACTATTTACTTGTTGAATATCGCATTTTTGTAACTCATTGATATTGCAATAATTTATATTGAAAAGATGATAGCCAATTTATTGGCTAATTCAAATTAGTACGTAAAATTCGTATAATTATGACTGTTGAAGCCTTAAATTCAAGTCTCTGGGCTCTTTCTTGTAAACAGATTACAAAATATATTGTATTATTTGTTAAAGTTTGGATAAACCATTGCTTCGGCTGGTGTCTGAGTCGCACGAGCATTATTAGTTTATAATAAAAAATCTATGAAATAGCTTGATCTCACATATCACAATAAAAAATCTATGAAATAGCTTGATCATCGATAGCCGGAACAAAATTTTTGAGCCAACATGTTTTCTCGTGGTACAACCCAAATCCGACCTGACCTAGCGTTTAATCGAGGTCTAGAACTGGTCGTGCACCTGCGTCACCGCGTAGCCAGATCGACACGGAGCCGCCGGGACGCGCAATGCGCATTGCAGCTCCTACGACTACGACCGCGTCCGCTTTCCTCGCGGGGTGCTAGCCGAGTCAACGACTCTGCTGCCCTGCCGCTCCCACCTGCACACACGCCTCCGAAAACACCCGATTCCCTTCCATTCCCCCTCAAAATTCCAGCGAAAAAGCCCAACCAAAATGCCGCCTGCCCGCCCCCACCTCGTGGCCGCAGCCGCCGCCGCCGTCCTCCTCATCCTCCTCCCTGTCCACCTCGGCCTCGCCACCGCGCAGGGGTTTCGCGGCTTCTCGTACCTCCTCAACTGTGGCGCGGCGTCCCCCATCACCGACGGCCGCGGCCTCCGCTGGGATCCCGACGGGAACTACGTCTCTGCCGGCACCCCCGGCGCGGTCTCGCTCCCGGACCTCATCGATCCCACGCTCGCCACGCTCCGCAGCTTCCCGCTCCGTCACGGGGCCAAGTTCTGCTACGAGCTCCCCGTCGACCGGAACCGCCGCTACCTCGTCCGCCCCACCTTCTTCTACGGCGCGCTCTTCGCCTCCTCCTCCGCGCCGCCGCCGCCCGTCTTCGACCTGATCGTGGACGGCACCTTCTGGACCGCCGTCAACACCACCGACGACGCGCGCGCCGGCGCCGCGTCGTCCTACGAGGGCGTGTTCCCTGCGAGTGGAAGGAACATGAGCTTCTGTCTCGGGGTGAACCCGGACTACACCGACGCCAGCCCGTTCATCTCCGCGCTGCAGGTGATCCAGCTCGACGATTCCGTGTACAACGCCACGGATTTCCCGACCAGCGCCATGGGCCTCATTGCTCGCACCAAGTTTGGCTCCACTGGCGGCATCGAGAGGTGAGTGACCGGCCTTTGTGGCTTAGTTGAATTGTTGAATGGGGTGTCTCAAATTTAGTGATCTGTAGTCGACAGGACTATTTTAAGTCTGTAACCGATAGCATCATTTGGGCTAATTTCTGCTGCACCTAAATACCTACTACTTTCTGGTTTTAGCCTTTCTTATTAGAGTTTAATTTACGTCATCTGTTGAAAACATTTATTGGGTAGGCATAGGTCGATCGGACTGCTTTTGTTCTTTCAGAACTTTTAATGCTGATGTGCTCCCACATAATTTAATTCTTTCTGTGTGAGATCATCTGCGATGTATCATAGAGATATGCTCTTGATTTTCTAGTAGGATTTCTTTTGTATTAGTTGGTAGATATTACTTGGAGGAGAGATGCTCTTTCACTTGTTTATTTTCTTAAACTGTTTTATCTTTTAAGACCTATGGTCATGGTGCGTCTTACTCATAGAGTATGGGGGGGAATTATTATATGGCCAAAAAATATCAAAGAGATGGAATTTGCGACATAGGATTGATTAATTGTGCAAGTACTATATCTGTTTATTAATTTCCTGCATGTGTACGAATCATGGGATTTGTTTGGAATTCTGACTTGATTCCTCCTTGTGTTTAATGTTAGGTACCCTAATGACAGTTTTGATCGCTATTGGCAGCCATTCCCGGACAACAAGCATGCTGTCAGTAGCACCCAAAATGTTACATCAGCTGACTTCTGGAATCTTCCCCCTCCTGACGTGTTTAACACAGCTTTCGTAGCAGAACAAGATGCACCCCTTGTGTTACAATGGCCTCCAGTGGCTCTTCAAAATGATAGCTATTATGTTTCCCTCTACTTTGCTGATACTTTGCCTGATAATTCAAGGACCTTTGACGTATATATAAATGATTACCTCTTTTTCAAAGATCTAAATGTCACGTCAGCTGGTCTTTCTGTCTTTGCAACGCAATGGATTCTCTCAGGCTTGACCACAATTATATTGAAACCTGCTTCTCCTTCTGCTCTTCCTCCACTTATTAATGCTGGCGAGGTCTTTGGGCTTTTTCCTGTAGGAAGATTGACATATGCCCGGGATGGTATAGCAGTTGCTACACTTATTGCCTCTTATCATTTTTTTCTTTCTGTAGAAATTTCATGGCTAATGTAATATGATGCATATTAAGTTCATAATCCCTTGCCATGTTATGAGTCACCGGAAACTCTTGTATGGCTAGCACAGCAGTGGCATTACCATCAATGTGATACCTTGAGGTGTAATGCATTATGTTTCATTAACACCACCTAGTTGTCAAATAGTTCCTGTAATTTATCAGTGCACACATCTTTTAGGGAGTCACATGGATTCCAAAATATGATTGCAGGAAAATAAATCGGCACTGCATATAACATTCTGCATAAGTTGCCTTGCATCATGTAACTAGTCTATTAATTACTTCTAGGATGCTTTTGCAGTGCTTGCCCTGGAGAGTATAAAGAAAAACCTTCAAAATATACCTGAAGATTGGAATGGAGATCCATGCATGCCTTCAGGATATTCTTGGACCGGAGTTACATGTGATGAAGGATCAAAAATACGTGTCATCTCATTGTGAGTTGAACTCATTCTGCTTCCATCTGTGTAGCATGGTTCTTCCCCCTTTTGCAGTGACATCATTGTATTGATTTATAACAGGAACTTTTCAAGTATGGGCCTCTCTGGATTTCTTTCACCTGATATTGCCAAACTGACTGCTTTGACTAATATGTATGTTTTCTTTAAAAAAAGTAATTGATTATTGAATAAAATAGCAAAAATTAAAAATAAAATAAATAACACTGTTACCATTTCCAGATCTTTCGCACACAACAGACTGGGTGGGTCTATTCCGAATCTTAGCAACCTAAGAAATCTCCAACGACTGTAAGACCCTATGTAATTTTCAAGGTCATCGTCAAAGTTGTATGTGTGTCTGTACATTACTTAGGAGAAGGGTTTATCTTGTAGGCACCTGCAAGAAAACCAGCTATCTGGATCGGTACCTGAGACATTGGGGACAATCAATACATTGCTTGAAATGTGAGTTAATTTCATCACTTTGTGCTTATAGTTTAGTTTGTTCTCATTTTCAACAATTTGACATGAATATCTTTCATGTTGAAACAAATTATCAGCACCAGCATAGTGGGTTGATGATCTTCAATTTAGTCGTGTTTTCACGCTTTGAATTGCTGCACATCTATTCTGACAAGTAAATATGTGTTGCATGCTTGAAGAACACAAGAAGTTGACAGTAGATGTAAACCTGTGACATGAGTTAGTGTTATATGATGTATTTTAGTCCTTAGTTTGTATGGGTATGCCTTTCAAGTTTGTTATTATACATATAACGGAATGATATAACATATCTCTGCAAGTCCCACAGTATACAATATCTGTCCAATTTATGGGGATTTACTTCTTACAGTATCTCTCTGTTGGGAGTATGCCAATGGTTTGAACAAGCCATTGAAAAGGAGAATAGCATGTTATAACATTTTCTTTTGTTAGTTACATGATTTGACATCCTCCTCTTTGCTCTACATGAACAATTGTCTGACTGATAATTCAACCTTAGTTTATGGGTGGGAATGGTTTTGTTACACAGTCTAAAACCTAGCTTCAGCAAAAATGCTGGGGATATGGTGCAATTGTTTGCCCCATTGTTTTTGTAACACAGTCTTACAAAATTGTGGTCAACTGACCATTTATTCCTTCTTTCAAGAGAATGGTGCTGCTGTGACTTGTACTCTGATGCAAACTTTAATAGCAGCTAGCTGGAGATATAAATAGGAACTGTAACTGGAATAGAAAACAGGAACAACTTTGCTAGTCAGGCCATGCTTCAATTCTCTTATCACCACTACAATTTTGAATGGAAAATCCTATGAAGGGCCATGGGATCTATGTGCTAGCATTATAGTAGACAAATTTCTTGGTGCGGATCGAATGTCAGTCCAGTACAGCTGCAGAACATGTGCAATGAAATACACTACATCCTGCCAAAACGAAAGAGATAAACTTGTCGGATACTACCTTAACCCCGCTTGAAAGTAACTGAATTTGTTTGTAACTCTATCCACGAGTAATGCAATATGAGTTCCCAGCACCAAAAATGAAAGTGTCCCAAGTACCAAGTCAATCCTGGAGTTTGTGACATGTAAATGTAATGCTGCCATGTTGTCTTGTCGGTTAGGTGTAGAGTGCCCGAGATTGGTGTTATCTCTTCATGCACCTTGTATCTGGATGCCAATACTCTAGTCAGCATATGCTTTTGAATTAATCTACAGTAATGCCACTTACCAGATGATTTTTTTTCTTCATTAATCAGATTTTTACAGTACAATAATTTAAATGGAACAGTTCCAGAGAACTTACTGAACAAGACAGGATTGACTTACGCGTAAGTTCAATGTCACTTGAACTCAATTAGCGGTTGGTTTACATGTGTGTTTGTGTGTGTGTTAATTGGACTTATCTTGATCATATTTCAATATTCCTTTCAACTAGCAGATTTCTGCCAGGGAATAGCTTCTCTCCACGACCACCGCATTGACAACCAGGCATTTTGTACAACCAACTACTCTATGTGTACACAACATGATTCAGAGGTAGCAGGAAAGTTGTTGATTCTTTTAGGGTAGCTGTAGCAAAATTTTGTAACCATTCTGTGCATAAAAGCGAGAGAGCAGTACAGTATTTCAAACCAATCAAGGTTGGCAACATGGTGCCAATGTATGCATTAGACAAAAGGTTCCGACACAGTTGGACAGTTCAACAGTGTTTACACTGGTTTGAGCTATGCTTGCAGAAGCTAAGCATGTATTTAGAATGCTGGACTTTGTACATTAGGTATTGGAAATGAAGCGTTTCTTAGAAGATCTTCAGCAAAAGGCAAAGAGTTTTCTTTGAGCAGTTCAGGTATGGGAAAGTTTCCTGGCGGTTCTTTCATATCCTAACTTTGCTAATGCCCTTCCTTAGCAGTAACGTGATCTTAGGCAGAAGTGACTGTATTCATGTGATATGAATGGTCTATTTCAGGCTGCGTTCCTGTTAGGGTTTATTCTTTTTAAGTTTTTCGCTCAGAATTCTTGGGTGAGACTCAGATGTGGAACTGAAATTTATGGGAACCCTTCAATAGAAGTTGCATTCTCGGCTGGTTCCAGCGTGGCTAGCTGTTCGATAGCACCAAAGAGGTTGCAATAGGACGTCTGGACGTGGCACTCTGCAAATCAGTTGAATCAATAACTCTAAAAAACTTCCTTCTCATCGGTACACGATATAAACACTTAAAATCATTTGTTTAAGTCAAAAACTTTTCTTCTCGCAAATATTCATATATAACATTGTAGCACAAATTTAAACGCATTGTTGTTGCTTCTTAAAAAAAAAGTCTTTAACTATTACTCCCTCCTAATAAAAAGAATACAATGTAGCGTACTCCTGAGTCAAACCATTTTAAACCTAAAAAAATTCATGACAAAAAGTATCAATATTTATGGTACCAAAAATATACATTTATATAGTATAACTATATGGTGTCATAAATATTAGTATTTTTTTATGAATTTAGTCAAACTTTAGATAGTTTTTCAAAATAAATAATTAGAATTGCATCATTTTTAGCAGAGGTCGTATTAATTAGTACGACTGTGGTGTGCTCATAAAACCACTACTCCCTTAGTTCAAAATTATAGATCACTTTAACTTTATGCTAAGTTAAATTTCCTTAAGTATGGCCAAGCTTACAAAAAAATGCACCAAGATCTCTAACATTAAATTAGTTTCATTGAAGTTTTCAATAAAATATATTTTGATAGTGCATTTTGGAACACGATGAACCAAAATGAAACATTTGAGGCGCAACAAAAGATCATTAGAATCTAAGATAAAATGATTTAGTCGAGAGGGAAATGAATTTGAATTCTAGAAAAATTCCTAAAAAAGGATACTCATCTCCTAAATGTATTTTAGGGTCTGCTTGGTTCACTTTCAAAATTTACCAAGCCAAGGATTTGGCAAGTCGTGATTTTGGCTAGTATTTGCTTGGCTATCAAAACTTGCTAACTTCTCACATTTGACTTGCCAAATCTTTGGCATGACAAATTTTGGTCGCGAACCAAGCAGGCCTTTAAAAACTTATACATGCATAACACCAAACACAACCAACATGAAAGCAACACATCAAACAAAAACCTGTGAAATTAATTTCAAAAAATAAGAAATCTTTTTTCTCTCACTAAATTGACAACAATATAAATTAATATTGCATTTTTTAAATATTGAAATCATAAATTTTATCTAGTGCTTTCTATTCATATCCCAGAATTGAAATTTTAGGGTGTGACATGGGTGGACCTTAAACTTGCTAGCTAAAGTGAGTTAGAATGGCATGCCAAGTAATTAATTTAGGAAAAATAACCTAAGTTAACTGACTAAGACTATTGGATACACACTTCCATCCCTAGTGCAAGGTCTTGGAGCATCTCCAACAGTTTGGTAATCCACTTTCCAATCTTGTCTTTTGGCAAGATGGAAAAACTTTCTCCAACAAATCTCTATCCTAACCCCCAATCTAACCCCGCTTAGGAAAACACAAACAATCGTGACTCCCAATTGGTGTTGGGGTGCCCCACTACCGTCGCACTTGACTGCCGTCGCTGTTTGGAGGTTTGCTAGAATTGAATCTCTCGTCCACTATTCTTTGATATGAGGTAGAGCAGAAAATGAAGATTCTGTTTTGGATGTGAGATAGGATGCTAGCTATGGATGACCATGACAACCATGATCGGCCATGAAGAGTTCCACCATTCTACTGCCTAGGAGGTTCACAAAATTGGATACCTACCACTATCTTCAAATATGAGAATACTAAGAGGTAGAGAAGGCAATGGAGATTTCAATTTTAGTGTGCTGAAAAGCTAAAATTTTATTATAAAAACCAATAGCAAAAAGCCAACAGCTCTCGAGCCAACCTTTTTTTTAGATAAAAATCTAAAAGAGTAAAATGTATGCAGGGTCATCAAATTTTTGGGACATTCCCATCCGCGTCCTCGAACTTAGAAAAACGACTATTTGGTCCCTGATCTACTGCTGCAGTGCATGGACGATCCAAAAGCAGCCACGCCAGCCCCAAAAGCTGCGTCGGTGCTGCCATCGTTCGTTGTGCGCCCTTTGACAATTGAAGCCGTCGGCAGATCACGTTCTGGCGCATGGGGCATCAGCTCGCCATGGCTCCTCACGATGTATGTTTGGCAAGGCTGAGGATGTCGTCTACTACAAATGAGAGTTTCATTTCCTGATTGCAGGGGATTTTGGGGGCATCTATTTTCTGCTGGCCCATTTTTAGTCAACAGGGAGTTCTAGAAGCAGTGAACAAGGGGCTCTGCTTCGTCCAGCCACATAAGAACTGCGCCTACGAGCAGCAGCCCCATGTTTAGTATCTCATGGAGTCCTGAGGGGAACTGCAGATGGTCGTCAAATTGCCTCCTGGTGAGACGTGAAGTTTCATGGTGTTCCAAATGACGTGAACTCAGACGACAGATCCCGGTCACATAATCTACACTTGGCTCATGGTGCCTTAGTTGGATGGCCACATACTATTCGTTGGAAAGGGTTGTTCAAGATCATACGAGGTGACTGACTTCCTTGGGTTCGACACCGGAGTTTACACCTTGGACAACTTGGACATGTCATAACTTTCAATGCACATGTCATTTGGAGTTGAATGCGTTTCTATCTGTTGTGTTGTGTTGTGTTGTGCCATTAAATTGTTTTTAGTTATGGTAAGCAATGTATTCCCATTTTGCTAACTTGGTTTCACAAATTGAATTGAATATAATCATAGCATCTCATCTTTGTGTCAGCTTATTTGCACAAAGTAGAATGTTACACATTAACTCTTCTTGGACAATGGATGAAAGGATACTATGCATTTACATTTTACTAGTCGTTCCAACTTTGAACTAGATTTATCTTGTAATTGTCCTCTTTGTTTCTTTAGACTGAACCCACCTACGCTAATCATCCATTCCTTAAGCACTATTGGTCCCAAGAGCACTAGAGGGAGCATCATCTCCCTTCATATGTCCCTCAACTCCTACACACCTCAAATGGCCTATTGAGGGTGGTATTTATAGCCCCCAACTCCAAAACTAACCATTGGCAGCAGACTGGATAGTCTGTGCACTCACCGGACTAGTCTAGTGGTGGTACCAGACAGATCTGGTGCAACCACATTAGCTAGCCATTGGAAAATGACAGTTGGAGGTTGATTGATCCGGTGTACCACCGAACTGATTCGGTGCATTGAAGCCACCTCTTTCCCGCATTGTAACCATGTCTGGTAGAATGCTCTATTGAGCATTCTAGTGATGCCACTTTACGTATGTGGTGAAGTCTTCAGCCTTTGTATTCTCCATCGTCGATATCCGCATCTCATCACTATGCATGCCGGTCTTTGCGCAGGCCCAGAACAATAAACATAGTTTGATGCTCTTTCTTAGATAACACCAAACAAATCCGGTGCTGCACAACAACCTCCATTTAACTCCGTTTCTTGGCGTGTCTTTGTTTGAGCTTCTTCTAAATTTGGATCCGGGGGCCAGAGCCAAGGAGAAGCCACTGAGCTAGGGAGCCAACGCATCTAGCCACCACCAAAGGAGCTACCCTACACCCAACGGATCTGGTTTCTATAGAGAGCTAGAGCAGCACCCCCACTGCTCTGGCAGCTACGCAACCCTCAACTTAGCACCGCTCACAAACATGTGTGCTCCACCGAACCACTTCACCTCGCTCTTGCGCTGCCTCACCTCAACACGCTGCTCCACTGAAATGCCCACGTGCCACCAGGTCACATTGCCCCGACCAGAGATCTGCTACAATGCCGCTAGGTAAGTCCCCGCCGCCGCTCTCCTCGTGGCCACTTGTATCAGAGTCCAGGGCTACTCTGGCGGCAACGAGATGGAGGCCCCACAAGAGAGAGCCTGGTGCTGTGACGGGATCACCACTGCCTGAGTCGCCCCTTTGGGAACAACGTCCATGGCTGCTTTTTTTTCTTTGTTTCCCTCTTCAAGGTCAAGTTCTTTTCGACCAAAGGCCACTTTCTAGTGCGGCCTACTTTTCTAGACTTATTTGGATAGGTACCATTACAATCTTCCCAAAAAGAAAGAAATACCATCATAACTCATGTATTCTGAAACATGTCATTGTTGTTCCCTCTTTCTTTAAAATATGCCACTCTATACGTTTAGGGAGGTCTTGGACCCAGCTGTAGGCCTACGTGGCATACAGGTATTTCCGTATGGATAGTATTTCCCTCCGACTTCAAGTGGATAAGGGTGTTGGTTCACTTTAGAACCACCATCGTCGGCCCTATGCGCGGGCACCACTGCCACACTGGGTGCACACACACCACCACCGGCCCAATGCATGTGGAGCTAACTTTGAGCGCATCAATGGCCTAAAAGTTTGGTGCTTTATGATCGGAGAAGCTAGACAAGTGGAGATTGTTGGAGGACAGGTCCCGTGGCGTCGACAGTGCTCTCTTGCAATTTAAGGTCATGGGCTCCGACGTGTCGACGTTCATGCCGTTCTTCTTCAAACAGAAGACAGGGCTACACATGTCGGAATCCCGGATCTGTCAATGCTTCCACCGCTGGCGACCAAGAGTATTGTCGACGCCGCCAAGGAGAGCTGATGCCAGGTGGTGGGGTTTTCACAGGTAGTGGCGAGGGCGGCCACCAAGGCACCAGCTGATGGAGATGTTGGTAGTGGCACTGGAGTCGTTGGTGACTTGGCCCCTTGCCTACCGTGCGACATGGTAGTGTCAGATCCGGCCGTGCTGCCGAATGTGGACACTTACTATGGCAAACAAATAAATACGCAAGTGCACGGATGTTAATGTAGCCTTTATTTAGGAGTATTCCAAGGTATTGATTTTTCACAAGGAACGTAAAGTGAAGTAGTTTAGAAACATGAGCGGCAACTTGTCTTGATGGTTTGGAAGCCTTGCCGACGTGTTCTTGA